GGGTTGTTCAATAAACAGCGTGCAACTTCAGGCGTAGCGTTGCCGCGTCTCAGAAGTCGAGTAAAATCTCGGTTTCCAGGATGACCAGCATTGTCGTGAGCAAGCTAGATGTTGGTTAGCTGGTCCGTTGTAGATGTCCAGTCGGGCTGATCGGGCACTTGGTCGCCGCTAGCAGGTTCGGCCCGGGGCCATGAACAGAAATTTCCTCGGGCCCATCTTCCTCAGGGGCCGCTTCCAACGGAAGACTGAGGCTGGTTTTGTTCACTGAAGTGCCTGCTTAATCTGTTCCACCTGCTGATCGGAAATCGCGCCAATGCCGTCCGCGCCGAGCTCCGAAGATGAAGTATGTGCTCCACTGGCGGTCTGCCACACAACCAGTCGCCATTGCCCCTCGCGGACGACGGCTGCTTCAACCGAGCCCTGCGAAGTAGCGGGTTGCAGAGATCCACCCGGGGCATTTCTCAGCACGGCCGCGCGCTTGCCAAATACTGGACCAGCCAGGCTCACATTGGTAGCGGCTGGAGCGATGAGCTGCCCGGCCAGCCTGAGACAAGTGCTCCTGGGTTACATGCTCGCCAGCCAGGTGCCAGCGAACGCCGTGTTAGTAGCGGCCTCGCGGCAAAAGAAGGCACGGCCAGTCCACCACTTGGCCAGGGCGCGGCCACGGGGTGAGTCAGACCGCACATCCTGAGTGAATTCGGTAGTACCATCTGGCTCGGTCATTCGCTCCTTGGTCCAATTGTCTGCAGAAGGTCAGCGGACGGCGTCGGGGGGGGGGCCAGCCCGTTGCGGGGCTCTCGATGCACTCGGACATCCACCCTGTGACCATTGCAGATACCCTCTGTCCACAAATCCTTCAGATCTCGTTCTCCCCCACGATCGCCTCGACACCGCCCCCGTCCACGATGCGATCTTGCATCTCGCGTGCGCCCGCGTGCGCCCGCGTGCGTCGCCAGGCGCCTGGGTCCTTGATGCTTCACTGGCTCGCCTGACTCGCGCGTCTTCACGTGCTGCGCGCAGTGCTGGAAGTCCATGTCGTAGACATCCTTGAATGCGTCGCCCGCAGACATCCCGAACGTCACCCGCTCCTGGTGGCATGGCATGCCCGTGCTGATGAAGCCCCTGACAGAGAGCCTCGTCCAGCGCATCTGGCAGTCGTCGCGCGTCCACCAGAGGGCCCTGGCGTTGCCCTGGTGGCGCATGGACTTTTCTGGGTGCGTGCAAATGGCCTGCTCGGTCTTCTTGGTGCCCATGCCGCATAGCTCCAGCCTCTTGCCCACCGCAAACCACTCCCCGCTGGGGGCCTTCAGAACTCGAGAGAAAGGTCTTTGGTCGCGTGTCTGGGGCGTGGATAGCGCAGCCTCATTGCCCAAACTTCTGGCGCCCCCGAGCAGGTTCTGGCAGGCGTTCGCGCCGATGCGTGCCCCCCCACGCGGCGCCTCATGGCCACGAGGCCCAGGATGGCGAGCAGCTTGAGGCACGCTCGGTGCCATTTACACGTCCGCTTCTCTGGAGTCATCAAGGGCAGGCTGGACCTTCCGGTGCTCGGGGGTTCCAGCTGCGGCTCTTTCGTGGCGGGGATGCGCCCCGCGCGGCTCAACATTGCACCCGGGGTCAAAGAGGAGGCAGTTAGCTGAGGAAGACTGGTCCGATCCGAAGGCGCCTGCGGATTCACGCAGCATGCGCCGTCATCAGGCTCGGCGACCTGGTAGCACCCCTGAGTCTTCTGAGAGACTGTTATGATCTTTCTCTGCCAACCGTCCTCGGGAACAGCAAGTCTATGGATCACAATGTGTATGCCTGCCCCTACCTCGAACGCCCTCGACTGACTGCCAGTGATAACGCCCGCCTGGCAGGTCAAGAACCACGCCATGCTGCCCGAGCATCTCCATAGGCAATCAAATGCACCGCGAGAGCACCGCAATTCTTTGCCGCGGCGACAGGCAAAGCCCAGCCAGGGAGAAACTGATTGGATCCGCCGACGCCCCTCGGCGTCAATTTCAAGAGTCGGTATCTGAACCAGCTTCGAACCCTCGGCACCTCCACGGTATCCTACCATTTTCGCACGCTGATCTTTGCCACAGACTCCACGCTGAGCTCCGGCATCCACCAAACCGAAACCCATCTGGACCTGAAGTCCGACGGAAGTCTGTTCACCAATGTCGGCCGTAGCAAAGATAAGAAGACATAAAAAAAATAACTCCAGACTATGTCGTGTGTTCCCGTTGACAAGCGCCGTGCAGAAAGTCGTCTGCTTCGAGAGGGACAGCCTGGGAACTTCCGTCGCGCCCTCGCTCGCTTGGCTCTCTCGCGCAGTCCCGAGCCCAGTGCCCCATCGCCCCGAGTCGGGCACATTTCGAGCGGCTCTTGGCCCAACGATCCGGTCGAGCGCGCCCAGTCCGCCCCCCTCGACGCTTGCCCTCGCGGGTGCCTTTGGACTTGCCTGTCGGAAGAGACTGTCTGATCAAGCCTCGTCCGAGCTTCCGCTTGTGCATGCATTGTCGTGCCTGGCTGTAGTCGGCGTCGATGGCGACAGCCTCGTCTTCGTCCAAAACCACAAACTCGGGCGCGTCTCCAGCCGCGAAGAGAACGTCATCGTCGCCCATGAACCTGAGGGCCTCATTCAAGACGCCGTCTTCCTCGCGAGACTCTGGCAAGGTAAACGAAGACCGTTCCGCGAGAACCCAGCGAATGTCATGGATGTCAGGCCCCAGGTCATCAGATCCACCTTCATCTCCTTGGTATCCGACGAAGTGCGAGGCGGAACTCATTCCATGAATGAAATGGCCGCCTTTGCCTGAGTGTGGCGGTCGCTCCAGCTCACGAGGCTTCTCGCGCGCCGCGTCAAAATCATATGACCCCTCAGTCCAGTGCTCAACCGCACCCCGAGCGGCGTTGCTGAGCTTGGATTTTCTGAGAAGCACGTCTCCTTTCAAGCCCCCTGGAAAAAAGGTCACGTGCTTACCGAGCTTTCGGAAGAACGCTCGCCTGCGAGCAATATAATCGACGAGAGACTCATCTCGCTTGCGCGTGGCGTCGCCAGAAGAGACAAGCTGCCCACGTGCCTCCAGCGTCCCACGGTCTCGGTATTCGGCGAGGGCCTTCTTGATATGTGTGACCTCAACCTGCCCACTGTCCTCCGAGGACAGCTGATCTGCGGTGAGTTCGTTGCTGATAATATTGAGGTCTTCTCTGGCGTAGCGGTGGATGAGGTATCCATGTTGTCTCCTCGAGGTTCTGGCAGTCGCGGGCCACGTCTGCAGCTCCTTCATGCAAGGGTCTAATCGAGCATCCGGATCTGTACCATCCCAGATGAGGGCATGACATTCGGTATCTGTTGGGCCCCCCGTTGTCCAGGAAACTGCCCCCTCTGGTGATCAGAAGATCTGGCAGTAGCGTCTCCCCAACACGTCGGAGTGAACGGCGCAGCCTGCCCCTGCAGAGGCGCGCCCAACCGAGCTGGCGCAGCCGGCGAAACTCGCGGCCATGCGCGCTTCAACTTGGTGAGGGTGGCTGCAAACTGGGCTGCGCATCCGTCCTGGGCTGTGAGAACCAGCAGGCCATCGCCGCTGGTGAGCATTCCTGGCAAGCCTACGGAAGCGAGAAGAAAAATAATATGTCGCCCGAGAGTCGGGCGGCGCGGGAATCAGCCCGACCCCCCTCGTTGATCGGGGCCGCGCGATCCGTTGCCACTGAGGAATGAACGCGCGGGAATATCTGGACAGAACACAGAGAGACGCGAAGTGTAGGCTGGGGGGCCCGTGCTACAAGGGAGCGCGTTATCCTTCCTCCCGCGCGGGCCAGGGCGCGCCCGTCGCTCGCGCGCCAGATGACTCGCGGGCCCCCGCGAGCCGCGGCGGCGGCGCGCGAGGGGGGCGGGGCGGAGACGGAGGGGGGGGAAGGGCGGAAATGCGCATGACAACCGCAGAGACGCTTCTTACCCGTCGTGGAACTGCCAACCTGACCACCAATGCCAAAATATGTATTGCGGGTTCTGTTGGCCCATTCAAGATAGCGCCCGGTCCCCCGCAACTTGCCCTCTGCGCTGGCGGCCCAAGCTCCGCCGTGGCAACGCGCATTGCATCATTCGTCCATGATGGGCCGCGCATCGCCATCCACGAAAACGTCTATCACCCTGCGCTTGGAAATCACCGAATCTGTCGACGCAGGAGAAGGCTGCGCCGCAAACGCGACGAGTTCATTCTTGGCCGTCTCTGAGACACAATCGCGAAGCATCGACGTCAAGTCGCCGATGCCGAAGTCGCCCGTGTCTTGACAGATCGACAAAGCACGCTTCGCTAACATCTGCATGGCGATCTTCAGCTCCGACGGTCACTCTCGACGATCTCCCCGATTGCCTCAGCCCGGAAGTTGGCGGCGCGCTCGACCTTCTTCGCAGAGCCCTTCTTCTCTCGAGCGAGCCCGCGAGACTTTCGCAGACGCGCGCCGAGCATTCGCAACAGAATGCGCGAACGATTCCTTCAGTACCACCCCTGTTATCAACAAGGCCCTGCGGGCACTCGCTCGTCTGGCGCAGCGCCTCGCATCTCTCCTTCTTGGCCTTGCGTCTGCAGCCCCTGCAAGCGCGAGCGATTGAGCGGGCCGACGAGCCAGCGCCGGCACACTTTGCACAACCGCGAGCACACGGATGAGGCAACGGCGGCTCTGGGGGCCTCCTCCTGCTCGTCGACCAGCTGGCGCCAAAACTGACGCGGGGATGCGCGTCGTCCGCAGAACGACGCGCGGCGCGACCATTAGCCAACTGAACGACATGCCCATCAAGCCACGCTAAGGGATTTCAGCTCCGTGCTCGGCTTCTTGGCGCCGCGACCCCAGCAGACCGAATCGCGCGTTTCTCTGGGCACCCTTCCATGCGTGGGACCTCTTTGCTGACCAGTGATAAACGCTGCGTCATGACCAGGAACAGCAACCAGCTCATGAGTGGGCGTCGCCTCAAACTCCTCATTCGACACACTGTTCATCGGATAGTTCTCGGAAGCCTCTGCCGAGGCACTCGTAGCGGCTGCCCTCGAAGCAGGCATGCGAAGAGCCATGTGCGCGCGCAGCCTCTCGCAAGCCTCCGACGAAGTCTGGGAGCTGTCCTGGGCCGCGCCCGCGCGCCCGCGCTCGGTGTGGATGCGACCGTGCCGGAGGAACAAGTCCTTGATATGGTCGAAGTTGGTCCCATTGCCCGTTGATGTCACTACCATTAAGCTCGCCAGAGGCGTGAGTCCTGCATGGTCCAATAGAAAAGATCCAGGCGTGTCGTCGCTCATCTTGAGGTTCGGGTCGAGTTTAGAGACAAGTTTCCACCAACGCTTTCTGCGTGATATGCGCGAGACCATCGATTAACCGTTATGACGGGACATTGGTCCATAGGGTCTCTGTCCTACTTGGAAGAGGATATTGGCTTCCTGGGCTTCCATGGGAAAGAGCGAGGTATGGATCGTCTGTATCAGCAGATCGATGCCCACTTTAATCAGAACCGTTTCCTTGCCGATACCCATGGCTATATCGACAGCGTCACCTCTGAGGCCATTTATCACCTTACCGAAGGTTGCTGTGACGGCGTGTGGCTGTGGCTCCCCCGTTGCAAGATCAACGGCGGCCAATGCAGCTCTGCGCATATTTGTCCGGAGCTCCCATTCATGGAAGTCCACGTTCACTGTCCCATCGCAGATGTAGGAGCCACTCTTCGTCTCCGATCTTGCCCATGAACCAGCGCTTGGTCTGCAACGAAAGGAAGGCAGTGCCATGGGACGGCAAGGGCGCAGGCAAGTAGAACGGCAGTCTACAATCCCTCTGAAAAAAGGGTCACTGCTCAAGCAACTACAATTGATCGTCAGGGACTCTCTGGAGAAACGAATCCTGCGCAGTGGTGCGGTCGCCGAAGACCGTATAGCAGGCAACGCTGCCAGTGTGATTTATGATACCTGTTGTATCCTTCTGCGCCTTGGCAAAAGGGGCCGCTTCAGGGTCAAACGACACCGAGTGGCGCACGTACGTGTCATGCACACACAAACGCACATTAGATCACAAGACGTATCCTCAAGTCCGTTGCCCCATCCCCTGAGCCTCTGTCCTCACTCCTGAGGGGTCTCTTACTGGACCGGAGCCCACATTCTCAAATTTGGCGGGCCCTGTCGCGGTCTCCCTGTGCTCACCCGCATTTTCTCGAGTGACATGTTCAGGTCCAAGAAGGCCCCAAGACGGGCCCATGGGGCCCCAGGATGCCTACAAGACGGCGCAAGAGGGACCCGAGTCGCCCAATGATAGACCTCATAATTACCTGCAACTAACGGTGGCGGGATGGGCAGAAGGCCATTCGATACAATTCTTCCTCCCTCGTCCTCCTTCTCCCGTTCCTTCTCCTCCTGCTGCTCCTTCCCTTTCCTCTTCCTCCTGCTCCTCCTCCTCCTCCTCCTCCTCCTCCTCCTGCTCGTTCTGCTCCGCCTCGTCATCCTCTTTCTCCTCCTTCTCCTCCTCCACGTTTACCCTCTCTGCGTCCTCGCACACTTCCTTATCGGAGGTCATTCGGCGAGTTGCCCTTTGCAGACGACGGGTCCGAGTCCGTCTCGCCCATTCACTCTTGCCCCTTCCGCCCAGGGCAATGGTATCCACAATAATGCAGCGGCGCCCATCCCAGAATCAATCTCGTACACGCAGGACGGCGAACTGTCGAGCGAGTGAGTCAGCGGGCACCTCTTCCTCCCACCAACCTTCAAACAAAAGAACCAGACCGAGTCAGCTGGCTTTTGAACAGTCGGCCAGACCGAGGCACACAGCCAACGGCATTCTCGTCGCGTGGCCGTCGTCGCTCGTCATCAACATTGCGGCCCGAAGACATTCCCAGAGTCACTCTGTGTTGTCACGGTGGCCCCAGGAGGGCCCCCAAACCCCGAAGGAGGCCCAGAGAGGGTTCCAAGAGGGCCTCTGGCGCGAAGACGGCTCTAAAAAACTTCAAGAGGCTCGCGAAGCGAAAAATTAGCGAGGGTATGTAGGTCTGCGAAGCATTCGTTATGGGCGCCGTGCGGTCTCACCACAGTGGGATTTGGCACGTTGCCTTCGACACAGAATGGGTAATCAACAAAGCCGTGGTGGGTGCGTACAAACCGAAGTAATGACATGGTGGCATGAATGCCCATTGAAACCATATGATGCACGACTGCGCTAAAAGCGGGCGACATGGATGTGGACATTCCCAACACGCTGTGGATCGACATGGGCGTGCGTGGCGGCGTTCAGAGAATACCTTTCCGAGGCTGTAGTAGACCGCTTGTAAAATAGCTTTCGCCAAGTATAACCCACCTTTACATCCACTTGTAAACCCCCTATCTCCCCAGCAACCTCCGCGGTGCTGCCAGCAGAAACGCCCAAATGGCCCAAGAGCTCCTGTGCCCTAAGCTCAATCTGCGAGCCCCCGCTTTAGCGCGCGCGCGTTTTGCGGAGGTCGACTACACGCAAAAGTGCCCTTTGGTGTGCGGCTTGAGGGGACCGCTGGGGGGCAACATCCATGCGCGCAGGCCAGTGCTGGGGGGACCCCAGTGGGCCCGCAGCAGAGCTCACTCCGGCGAAGGGTCACTCTTGCGCGCTACCGAGGATCGAGTGCGGCCAAGAGGGGGGTGTCCAAGAGGGGGGGTGCAGATCATGACCGGCGGCATCTGCGCGGCCCAGCGGGGGGCCCAGGGACGTAATGAAATAAGAAGAGGCGCCATGAGATCTGGGGAAATGGCATGGCCCCCGCCATGATGTCCCCCCCCCCCACTGGTCACCACCCCCCTCCTTGCCGCCCCCGAGAGGAGGCGGCCAGCGCTTCTCGCCGATGCGCAGCCCGCGCGGCGGCGCGAGGCGGAAGGCCGGCGGGCGGGCAGACCGGGAGCGGGGGGCGGGGCGCGGGCCGGGCCAGCCGCGGGAGAGCCCTGCGGCGCGTGGGCCTGCAGCAGAGTCTGACTACCTACCAGACTACCCCAACCCAACCCGAAGACCCGAATTTGACCAGAATTTCGGGTTGGGGGGGGGGGGACGGGTTCCATGTGTTTTTTCAACGTTCCCCGACCCCCCACCACACTGGAAATGGAAGGCAAATTGACGGCTTCGGGTTGGGTTGGGGTGGTTTTGTGGGTGGTGAAGTCAGAGTCAGCAGCAAGGATGGAGCCATGATGGGACAGATTTGGACCAGGCAGCGCCAAGGGGGGTCACCACGAGGGCCAGTAAGGGGGTCGCCACTTTTTAGGAGAAGCGCGACTTCCTCCAGGATGACAGCTGTGGGATTTGAACCTACGCAGCTTGCGCTAGTGGAACTTGAGTCCACCCCCTTAGACCACTCGGGCAAACTGTCCTTTAGAGAGACTTCCTCCAGGAAGTGGGGGCCCCTAACACACTGCAGATCCCTCCAAAGCGACCCCTGACGTCCAGACATCTCATCGAGCTACGATCCGGGAACCTCGATCCTCAGGAGGAACTGGTAAGACCCCCCCCAAGTGGTGAGCCCCCTTGGTATTACCCGAAAAGATGCGAGGCACCTGGAACGCGCATAAGTGCGAAGCATGGATTTAAACATATCCACCGCCTTGGGGACCCGTGTCCTGGGACCCCAAGGGGCGGTGCATATGATGGATATGTGTGGACCCCAGGGAGGCCCGAAGATATCCGCATCCACCGCCTCCCGAGGTCCAGGATGGTCGGTCTCCCAGGCGATGGCTATGAATTAATCCGAGCCTCAAAATAAGGACGCGAGGTACCTAGAACGCGCCAGGATGCCAGGGTACCCTTGGCCCGAGTAAGTAGAACACATCGCACGGGCACCTATGCTTTCAAGGCCCATCCGTACCCCTGGCTTTGACTGGACACGTTGCTGCTGAGACCCTACAGCGGTACACGCTTGCAGCGGTACACGCTGCTGGGTCGGGACTTCGCGGGGACGTGTTGAAAAGATGGGAGTGCACGGTGCTGGGAGGAGCCTTCAGCTTCCTCAGGGAAAACCGCCTCGGGCCAAGCGACTCTCGTGTATACTTCATGTGGACAGGAGCCTGGCGCGACAAACAGGCTCAGCTACTCTGCACACCTCCCCTTGCCAGTCTGGCAGAGGGAAGGGGAGAGAGAAGAGAGAGGGGGAGGGGAGGCAGGAGAAGGGGCACCTGGCGCACAGCCCCGGACCTCCGATGCGGTGTTTCTTTGTCCGAGGCGCGCCCAGGCCCTCGGAGCCCTCGATCCCACCCCTGCGGACGGCTTCTCGGCCCTGGGTCGTTTCTTGACAGCCCTGGGGCTCGACGGCGACCCCTGGAATGCTGAGATAGTGGTAGGACGTCCGAAGTCTCTGATAAGCCAAGACGCTGGCGTGCCCACGAAAACTGCAGCCGTGAGCCGAAACGCTGGCCCTGACCTCCCGCCTGCGCGTTTGCCTTGGTCTGCTTGCTTTTCGTTTCCTTTCTCCCTCTCTGTCGCCGCGCAGCAGAGACTGCCGGGAGCCGGCGGCGGGGTGCGCAGTGCCAGCGCCAGCATGCGCGGGGCGAGTGGGTCTGCCGAGAGGGCCGCTGGGCGGTGCGGAGACGTTTCCCGCAGTGTCTTCCGAAGGCCGACCCAGCAGGCTGGCGACGGGAGAGAAGCTCTGCGAGCTGAGCCTGCTCTCCCTTGACATTGCACCGACTTCGGTAGGAGCAACAATGCCGGGCGCCTTCATCTCTGCATTTGGTGTTTGGAAAGGCCCTGGGGGCCTTCTGTGGGTCGTCGTCGGGCGTTTTTGGAAGGTGTGTGGGGCCGCATGGGGCCTTCGTGGGGCTGTCAGGCCGCATGCCAGACCGTTTCGAGCCCGTTGGCCAAGCTCGGCAGGGGCGTCCATCTGCCCAGGTGACCCCTGGGAACATCCGAAAGGGCGCCGGGGACGTCCACGTGGCCAGGGATCTGGGGATTCGGTTAGGAGGGGTGGGGTGGGGTGACGGGGGGTCTTAGTTCTGGGAGAAGAAAGAATTATGAATAGGGGTGAGAATAAAACGATAGAGAGCTAGACAGATATATTGATAACTAGATGAGAATTGACACTGACGTCCCGATGTGTGCCCACTCGTGTGTTGAATTCCGCGTCCAGAGTTGACTCTCCCCCCGAACCTCCTTATCACCCAAAGGGTGGTCATGAGGTAAGAGATTATATCTGTCTCTCCCTTTCTCTCTCTTTCTCTTTCTCTTTCTCCTCTATCTCTCTCTCTCTCTCCCTCTTTTTCGCTGCCTGCCTATTCAAGCCATATCTGAGCCAGGCTTGTGGCTTAGATTTGGGTGGGGGTCGAAACCGCTCAGCATCGACCCCTCTCGAGCCGCTGTTGTCAGAGAGTGCGAGTGGTGGGGTGAGAGAAGGGGGGGCGAGAAGACGAGTAGGAGGGGGAAGGAGGAAGAGGACGAGACCTCCCCCCTGCCTGTGGACGTCGACCCAATAGCTGTTCGCCTCCCGTTCCCGAGGCGAAGGCCCAATGGGCTAGGGAATTCCGGGCGCCGGCTGTCGCCAGTGGGCCCGCCTTTTATCGCACAGGTCGCATGAGGCCAAGAAAGACAGGGCACCCAGGTCGTGGGGCCATGGTTCGGGGTGGCGGTCTTCTGTGTAGACTTGGAAGACTTGGTGGCCGACCGCGTGAACACATTGGATGGTGAAAGTGGGGGTCGGGCGCAGGGTCCCGGCAATGGTGTCTTTATGGGCCATGCATGGGCGATGCATCCTCGATTGCTGTGTTCGGCGGGGAAACCAACTGAAGCTCCCCGCCTGCACCCATGCGCGAGATTTGAGGGTAAACGAAGCAAGGGGGCGGGGGGCTCGGAAAAGGCGACGAAGGCAACGTGCGCTGAGGGCGGAAAAAAAGGTTGGAATAAACGAAAGCGGTGAGTTGAATGTCAAAATCTGCGCAGCCAATCTGACATGCGGAACACTGCGCCTCAGTTTGGGTGATCTTGAAGGCCAGGGCAGAACGTGAATTCACATCGTGGGGGGAAACAACCTGTGAATTCACATTGTGGGGACAAGGAACATGTGAATTCACATGTTGGAATGTTGTGTGGGAGTTTATTTATGAAGGGGCCAGGGTGTGAATTCAGACTTTGGGAACATGCAAATGTGAGTTCACATGTTTAAGGGAAGGAACATGTGAATTCACATGTTGGGAGAATCGCGGGACCCATTCCAAATCTGTCTTGGGGGTCGACAAGTCATCATGTCGGAACATACGCGATCATCAATCGCACAATCAAGACACACTTGCACTCCACTTCGCCGCCCAACGCGCAATATGCAAGAACGCCCGCACGCATGAACGATAATGGATGGACGGCGCGTTTGCCCGTGCGGGCAAGGCGCGAGCACGAACGAATGGCCCTCCATGACCACCAACATTGGATGCCAATCATACCGAATCACATACATGAGCGATATATTGAGCAAACATGGGCCATTCAGCCCCCATTGAAGACCTCCTGTTGCAGACCCCCTCTTTCACCCTCCAAACACAGCGTAGCTTCCATGTGGCCGCGACGGGAAACCCTGGATCCGGACATGTCCCGCTTACTTTCGCCGCTTTCCGCTGGCCTGCCGCCCCGGCCTCCGCTGGCGGGCACGCCGCCATTTTATTGTCGCTGGCTTCTGCCGAGGGAGAGGACGCGCCAAAGGCGAAGCACTTGCTGGAACGCCTCATGTGGCTGCTGCTTCATGCTACTGTTCTCTTTGCGTCGGCCATGGAAACAAGCAGTTGGAGCGGAGGACAAGCAGGAAGCTGAACCACTGCGCGACCGCACAGCCACGAGCTCGACATCTTGATTCCAAGAATCTACGCTGCTGTCTACATCACGTGCGCCTTCGCTACTGCGGGTGGCACACGACTCAAAAAATGATGCGCCCCGAGGACACATTCCATACAAAATGCATCACGCCACAATCAGGCCACTGAGAAATGGAGTTCAACTCTACCTCAACACGCGACTGATGTACGAAGCTCTAGACTAGGGAGGGGAGCATACATACATTTATATATATATATATATGGGATGAGGAAGGAGCAGGGAGACAAAACGCGAGTGAGAGAAGGTAGGAGCCACGAGGGAGGAGGGAGGAGTGAGCACGGACAAGGAAGGAGGGAGCAGGATAGATGGAAGGGAAGAATGAGCAAGGAGGAGGCAGGAGGAGAGGCAATAATCAAGAGGCAGGAGTGGGGAGGAGGAGGAGGAGGAGGAGGAGGAGGAGGAGAAGGAGGAGGAGGAGGAGGAGGAGGAAGAGCAGGAGGAGGAGAGAGTAGCAGGGGGAGGAGGAGCAGCATGAGGATGAGGAGATTGAAGAGAGGCCGAGAGGAGCTGCACAGCCGCGGAGCAAGCCCTTAGGCGGAGAGTGCGGAGCCCGCACAGCGGCGGGCTGGCCCGACACCTGGTGCCTCGTGCTTTCCTCAGGCTGAACGCGGCTCCACGTCTGGAGGAGGCGAGGACCTAGAGGAAGAACAAGTTGCATAAACATCAATGTTTGGAGCTCGGCGCGGATTTCTTGAAGCGGCGCTGGGCCCCTTCCCTGACAGGCGACGGGGGTTGGGGGGGGCAGCGCCGATCCAAGAATTCCGCGCGGAGTTCCGAAGGTTTATGTTTATGCCCTTTTGTTCTTCTCCGAGAGGAGGGGAGGAGGGGGAAGCATGGAAAGGCCTCCTCCAGGAGGCGCAGGGGGAGGCCTCCCCTCTGAGGAGGGCGGGGGGGGGGGGACGCCCCGCTCCTCCCGAGGGGACAACAGCGGGGGAGGCTCATGGAATCCCCTTCCTCCCCCCTGGCACTGCCTCCGAGAACGAAGAACATGTGGGAGGGGGCCCTCTCTCCCTGGCGCCGCGAAAAGCGCACAACGGCCGTCCCCAATACATAGATTGGCAACACCGAGGCTGCCATATGGAGACCTGCAGAAAGAGAGAGAGAGAGAGAGAGAGTGGCTCCTGGGGGAGGTCGAGAGCTCCCAGGGGCGGAGCGCCGAGGGCAAAAAGCACGACGTCGGAGGCCTGGGGAAGCGCGCCCGCGTGCCCCACTGTCTGCAGATCCGCCTGATGGCGACTGCTGGCGGCGCTTCCCCTCGGCTGGCCAGGCCTGACCTGGATCGAATCGTGAAATCGGACCGGATCGCACACGGGTCGCACCGCCAGCAAACCGTCCAGACCCGAATCGAAGCCGAATCGCCGCGCCCGGCTCCGGCTGGCCCTGGCCGATGCCGGCGAATCGAAGGGAAACGCATCGAATCGGAATCGCGGCCCCAAGCGGCGAATCGAATCGCATCGAATCGGATCTGCCTGCCGCATGACCGCCATGCGGGAAGAGCGGCGTGAGCTCGAGGGCGGGACGGTGAAGTGTGGCCAGAGCCTTGCCACGAGAAGCCTCAGACCCTGGAGAGGGGACGGAGGCCTTTGGGGCATCGCCTGCGACCAAATGCGAGAGGAGCGCCAGAGGAAGACCCGCGAGGGACCCGAAGAGCATCGAGCCCCGAAACCAAGAGTAGACCTTATCCTGACGTTTACGGTGGCTTGTACAACTCATCGGGCATCACGCCGTCGGCCGTCGTCTCGAAGGAAAGACGTCGTGCTCCCCGTGGCCACGGGTAAGTCTTGCGCCAAAGTGGCGGCATCATGTGTCCCTCGGCGAGGTGGCTGCTGGGTACCGAGTAGCCACCAGAACCCCGAACGAAGGCTGTCCGAAGATCGAAGGGCCACTCTCTTGCGCGGCTGCTGGAGGAGGCGGATCGGGCGAGGGAGGACGGCCAGCTCAGTGATCAGGCCATGGTCCCCAGCTTGCCCTGGCTGGACAGGACCTTCACGTCGAGGCCCAGGCCGCCGCCTGCCTGGTTGCCCCTCGGCAGGCTGGCCAGGGAGGAACCTCTGGAGAGCGCGCCCGCACCCGGGAGGAGCCTCTGCGGAGAGAACGCCGGCGACATCCGCCCCCGCTGCAGCACGGGCGAGCGGCCGGTGCGCGCCGTCGCCGAGGGCTTCCCCACCGGCGCGGAGCTGGAGCCACCCTCGGGAACGGGCTGCAGCGCGGGCGAGCGCCGGTGCGAGACATCCTCGAGCGACCTCCGAGCTGCCACGCGCGCAGGACTCCCGGGCGCCGGGTCCTCGGCACCACCCCCGCCGCCGCCGCCAGCGGGCACAGAAGAGCGCCGCTCTCCGAGTGATGGCAGGTCTCCCGTCTTGTGCCTGCCCCGCCACGTGCCGCCGAAGTCTGGCGCCCGCTCGGATGCCGAAGCTACAAGTCCCTGCCGCCTTTCGGCGGGCGGCTCCTGGCTGCCAGCGCCAGGCGTCGCCACGTCCGCACAGGGCCCGCGCAACCACGGTGAAACTGCTGAGAGAGCAGCCGACGACACGGCGCCTGCTGAAAGATGGCTCTCCATCTCCGCCGACGGCAGCGCCGAGACTGGCCCCGCCACCCCGCCGTCCAACCTCGAGGCCACTGCCCCCGTCACCAACCCGGAAGGGGTTCCAAGCGTGACTGCGCCTTGCGGCAGCGCGGGCGAGCGCCGGTGCGAGACATCCTCGAGCGACCTCCGAGCTGCCACGCGCGCAGGACTCCCGGGCGCCGGGTCCTCGGCACCACCCCCGCCGCCGCCGCCAGCGGGCACAGAAGAGCGCCGCTCTCCGAGTGATGGCAGGTCTCCCGTCTTGTGCCTGCCCCGCCACGTGCCGCCGAAGTCTGGCGCCCGCTCGGATGCCGAAGCTACAAGTCCCTGCCGCCTTTCGGCGGGCGGCTCCTGGCTGCCAGCGCCAGGCGTCGCCACGTCCGCACAGGGCCCGCGCAACCACGGTGAAACTGCTGAGAGAGCAGCCGACGACACGGCGCCTGCTGAAAGATGGCTCTCCATCTCCGCCGACGGCAGCGCCGAGACTGGCCCCGCCACCCCGCCGTCCAACCTCGAGGCCACTGCCCCCGTCACCAACCCGGAAGGGGTTCCAAGCGTGACTGCGCCTTGCGGCAGCGCGTCCAGGGCCACTTTGGGAAGCCGCCCCGGGCAAGCGACGTCTGCGCCAGGTTGCCTGTGCGGTACCGCTCGATTGCTGCTTGGCTTCGGAACGTAGTAAGACCTGTCTGGTGGACCAGATGGTGCTGCAGCCCGCTGCATCGCTGGCGGAGACTGCGGAGACTGGCTGGCCGTTGCCCCCGGTGCGGCTTTTGCTGGCGACCCGACGGCCACGCCCCACGCGTCGCCGCCGACCGGCCTCGGAGGTGCAGCCCGCAGCAGCGTCGGCGGAGGCTGCGGAGCCTGGCTGAGCGCTGTCCCAGGCGAGGCCCTTGCCGGCGACCCAGTGGCAACGCCCCGCGCCTCGCCGCCGCCGCCGCCGCCCGCGCCAGCGCGGTATCCGTGGGCGCTGCCAGCGCGGCCGAGGGCGCTGTCATGGCCTGACACAGGGCCTCCATTGCGCGGGCTGTTGCTGGCACGCTCGGCAGAGCCGCTGGCCATCCTGTCTCGTTCGCCGCCCGCACGCGGGTCTGCTGTTGCTGGAACTCCTGGCGTCTCCTGCGGCGCCTCGTCGCACTGCCGAGGCGGGGCCCCTGCTGGATCCTGGTGCTGTCCGCCGGCTGCTGGCTGCCCCTGGTGCGACGGCGTCCCTCTCGGGTCGTGGCGCTGGCTGGTCGGAGCCCGCTGTGGGACGGGGCTCCGTGTCGCCGCGTCCACAGAGGGCCCGCGAATCCACGGTGGAACTGTTGAGAGGGCAGCCGGTGCCGCGGCGCCTGACGCTGGATCCTCCATCTCCGCCGACGGCGGCGCCGAGGCTGTCCCTGCCACTCCGACGTCGAGATCCGAGGCCACCGCCACCGCCGTCGCCGACCCCGACGGGGTACTGTGCGTATGCACTCCTTGAGGCGGGGCGTCCAGCGTTGCGGCCCGCGGTAGAGGACTCCGACTTGCTGGGAGTGCTGGGACTGAAGGGAGTGTCGGGCGCTCTTGGGAGGGCAGCGCGGGGGCGGCGGCGTGACCCTCAGGGTTGGCCTCCGCCGACTGCAGCGCTGAAGCTGGCCCCGCCACCACCCCATCGAGCCCCGAGACCTCAGCCGCCGCAGGCACCAGAGGGGCATCATGCGTGCGCCCGTCCTTCGGCGTCGCGTCCAGCGGCACCTCCGACAGCTGCCGCTGACTCTCGACGCTCGCGTGGTGGTTGTCGTTTCCGCGTGGCGTGCCAGCGTGTGGCTCCGACGGGCTGCTTGTCGGCCCAGTCGGTGGCCCTGGTGCTGCTGCAGCCTGCTGCAGAATCGGCGGGGGCTGCGGAGCCTGGCTGGGCGATGTCCCAGGCGAGGCCCCTGCTGGCGACTTCGCGGGCACGTCCCACGCTGCGCTGCCGCCCGCGCCAACACCGTGGCCGTGAACGCCGCCAGCGCGGGCGAGGGAGCTTCCGCTGCCTGGCGCAGAGCTCCTGTCGTGCGGGCTGTCGCTGGAGGCCCTCCTGTCGCCTTCGTCGCCCTCGCGCGAGACTGCTGGGGCTGGAGATGCTGACGTCTCCTGCGGTGCCTCGTCGCCCAGCCGAGGCGACGCACCTGCCTGGTCTACCTGGTCGTGGCGCTGTCCGCTGGCGGCTGCCTGCCCCTGGCACGGCGGCGTCTCTCCTGGGTCCGAACTCTGGCTAGTCGGGGCCTTCTCGGCAGAGGGCCCGCGAATCCAAGGTGGAACTGCTGAGACGGCAGCCGACGCCGAGACACCTGGTGAAGCAGAGTCATCCGTCTCTGCCGACGACAGAGCTGAAGCTGTCCCCGCCCCGCGCTTGAGCTCCAAGGCAAGTGTCGCCGCCGACCCCGAGGGGGCGATGTGCGCATGCGGAGCGTCCAGCGTTGTGACCCCCTGCGGTCGAGGACTCCGACTTGCAGGGAGTACCGGTCGCCCACGGGCGGCGGCGTCGCCCTCGGGGTTGGCCTCCGCCGGCCCCGAAGGGGAACGCGTGCGCGCGCCCTGCGGCAGCACTGACAGCGTTGCGGACCGCTGCGACAGGGGACTCCGTCTCGCCGGGAGCGCAGGGCGCCCTCGCAGCGGCAGCCCGGGTGCAGCGGCCTCGCCCTCGGTGTTGGCCTCCGCCGACGGCAGTTCCTGCCGGCCGGCGCTTCTCTCCGCCGGGCCCGCAGAGCGCCCGCGCAGCCACGGCGGGACCGCTGAGATGGCGGCCGACGCGGCTGCGGCGCCTGCAGGAGCAAGGAGATCCATGTCCGCCTGCGGCAGCTCCGAGGCTGTCCTGGCCACTCCGCCGTCGAGCTTCGAGGCCACCGCCGCCGCTGGCCCTGAAGGGGCGCGCGCGTGCGCGCCGTGCGGCAGTGCGTCCCGCTGCGGGAGGGGGCTCCAGCTCGCCGGGGGCGCCTGGCGCCCACGGGGCGGCAATGTGGCGGTGGCGTCGCCCTCAGGGCTGGCCGTGCGGCGGCCCGACCCTTGCTGACCGAAAGGCTTGGTGTCCCGCGGGCTGCTGCCCAGCCGGCCAGGCGCGTTCGCCGCGCGCGGCCGGGCCGCGGAGGCCTCGCTGGCGGAGCTCCAGAAGCTCTCGCCGGACCTCCCCGCGTGCGAGGCCGCCGCCTGCCGCCAGGAGGCCCCGCTGCTGCTTGCGCTGTGGAGCCCAGCGCCTCCATGCACGTGTTCCTCGCTCACCCCATGTCGCGGCACCTTCGGCGCCCGGTCCCGGGCGATGCCAGGGTGGCCGCTCCTCGTGGACCCCACCAAGTCCTGGTCCTCGAGGATCTGTGGGGCATCCATGAGCAGCCCCGCCGTGCTCCGCGGCGCGATCATGGATCGCCTCCGGGCTGCCGGGACGGGCGCCGAGGCGGAGGCGGCGGACGACGAGTCCGCCACGGCGTCCATGAAGGCGGCGGCGAACGGCGAGATCACGGCTGCAATCTTGCGACCGGCCGCCGGCGGTGCCGCCGAGTCGTTCCGCTCCATGCGGCCGTGCACCCCCGCGCTGTAGGGCCTGGCCTCGGGGAGGGACCTGGCGTGTGCCACGCCGCCGTCGTGCGCCGCCGTGCGCACCCCCGTCTTGGACGCAGCCCTCATCATCCTGGCCACGGCGCGCTGTGCAGAGTTCGAGCCCCCCTTGCCGGCGCCGAGCTCCTGCGCGAGGAGGGCCGTGAGCCGCTGGACCTGCTCCCTGAGGTCCTCATTCTCCTGCCGCAGCCGCACGACGTCCTCGAGGTCGGGCTCCAGCTCGACGGGGGACAGGTCCTCGCCCATCTCCTGCCGGCGGCGCCCACAAGGGGGAGCGCGGCGCGAGGGGGGGGCGGCCTCCCAAGAAGGCGGGGGGGCAGGTGGCCGCCTTAGAAGGGAGCAGGGTGGGCTTCTGGGAAGCCGGCTCAGAAGCCCCCGGGCCTTCTAAGAAGCCCCCTGCCTTCTCAGAGGCCATGGCGCCTTCTCAGAAGGCCACCCCCCTCGCGCCCCCACCCCACACCTCCAATGTCTTGATCTGTTCAATGCGAGGCCCCCTGGAAGCCTGTACCCATTCTCTGGGACTGTCGATTCGTCCCTGAAAATCTGTTGACGGTCGCGGGGCCCCGCGGGGGCCCCAGACGCCGAACTGGACGGAACACCTCCGCCTTGATTTTTGTGCAATGCGTCGGGTCTCCGGGCCCTTGGGGAAGCCGCCGATCCTGCGCCTTCCTCTCCAAGGCCTGGAAAGCGGCGGTGTAGGACGCGTCCGAGTGCGCCGCGCCCACGGCTGCTGAGTCGTCCTCTCCCTCGCCCGGCTCCTCGCGGCGGACCTCGCCGCCCCCCGCCGCCGGGCCGCCGCCGTGCTGGTTGGCGAACTTCGTGAGGGCGTCGTGGAAGCGGCTCCTGCTGGGGAAGCGTGCCCAGACCTCAAGCGTGCAGCCGCAAGTATGACCTTGAAGAAATCGGTGCCGGCTTTCCGGAAGTCTCTTACAACAAGTCCAGGCCAGCTTCTCGTGTCAACGCTGGAGGGGCGAACGTGCTCAAGAGACTGGGCCAGTTGGTTGAGAAACGCTGAGCCAGCTTTTCGGGAAGTTTCTTAATCAGAGGCTCGACTCCAAAAAACAAGAAAACAATTGGAGGCGTTTCGCAGCGTTAGACAAAACGCCCTATATGGAAAACTTCCACAGGGGCACTCCATGTGCGCACGGCACCGCAGTCCGAATGAACCTGGGCGGCATAATAGCTGCGTAATCTACGTCCAAAGACAAGCGAAGGTGTTGGGCAACGCGCACGTCGATTAGCGAAACCGACTGGGGACTTCACCGGTACACTCGCCAGCTTATGTCGAGTGAACCAGTGCAGATTTCCTCAGTCGACGTGCCTGGCAGGCTCGTTCTCTCAATGTCCGAGTTCTGGCGGCCCCGTCAAGACAATTCGAGTCCTCAAGGTTCGAGACTTCCGTCTCCCCGATCCTGGTCTGGTTGTGCTGCACCTGCAGCATCCTCAGGGCCTCCGCCTGGCGCAAAGCCGCCTTGTCCCTTACTAGCTTCACCGCCTCGACAAGGCTCGCCTCCTCGGACCGTGCGGCGGACGTGGCCTTCGCCCGCATGTCCAGGATGCGGCGCTGTGCGTCGTGGTACAGACGGTCGAATGCGTTCTGCTTCTTCCGCTTCCTGCCTTCCAGCGGCCCCAGGTTGATCTGGCCCTTCATGTCGTCCACGAAGTCCTTGGCGCCCAGCTCTTCCAGCTTCGCCATGAGCTTCTTCACATGATCCTGCAGCCTCTCGTGCTCGTCGGCGAGGTCGTTGTACTTGTCGTCCTTGTCCTGAAGCTTGGCCTTCAGCTCCTCGATCTGCTCCTTGAGCGCCGCGACCTTCTCGGCGCTCTTCTTTTGACTGTCGTCGCCACCACCACGCTCGAGCTCGTCTTGCAATTCACCGACCCCTTGGGGGGTTGTAGTTGCCCCTCCCCAAACCCCTCCCCTAGAAGCCCGGCTCGGCCAACTTAACAAGAAAGGGGTCCAACCAGAAGGGCGGGGGGGGGGGTAAGCGCGAGCTCATCCGAGGAGCCTGGGAACCGCGAGGCGAGTCAAGAAGGTCTCAAGAAGACCCCAAGACGGTCCAAGAGGTCCCCGAGACGGCCCGAGAGCGCCCCGAGACGACCGAAAACGGCCTCGAGACGACCCAAGATGGCCCCAATACTGCCCAAGATAGCTCACAGACAATCCAAGAATGGCCTCAAGAAGGCCCAAGAGGTCCCCAAGACGCACCAAGAGGGCCCCCAGATGACCCCCAAGAGGGCATGGCGTCCCACCTTCGAGGGCTTACGACGGCCTCAGAAGCCTCCAACATGGCTCCAAGACGGCCCACGAGGCACCCCATCGCCCCAATGCGGCCCAAGGATGCTCCAAGATGAAGCCAAAAGGCTACCAAACGGGGACCAAGACGTCCACTAAACAGCCCAAGGGGGTCCCAAGATGGCCCAAGACACTCCCGAGACGGCCCTCGAGGGCACCAAGAGGGCCTTAAAGCGGTCTCCCAAGACGGCCTCTGAAAGCGCCGCCAGACAGCCCCCCAAGAGGCCGCCACAAGACCCCTCTTGAGCACAGCTTTGGGTGTCTCGGGTGGACACACAGCGCGAAGACGTTCCTACGACAACAACCCCCCCCCCCGGGGCACCGAGGGGATCCAAGGGGTTGGGCAGTGCGGTGTACGCCATCGAAGAATCCACGTCCAGATTGCAGCGAAGCGTCTCGGCAGCCCTACAGGACGGGTGTGCATCGCCAAGGCCAAGTCCCGATGCGTCAAAGAAGCCAACTTGCGATCCATCGACGCAATTATCCTTCGCAAAGCAGCCCCCCTTGATTCCCTCCTAGGGCTCGCGCCGAGTCGCCGACCCGTCTCTGCGCATCCTACAATCTTACAGAAAAGCCACCGAACCTCAAGGGAAATCACGGATTTGGACTTCTTGGGGTTCCTTTGAGCCCAAGAGGGCCTTACCACATCTCAAGATGGCTTCAAGACGGCCCAAGACGGCACCAAGACGCCCCAAGATGGGCCCGAGAGGGCCCAAGAGGCCCACACGATGGACCCAGAGATACCCAGGGGGACCATTAAGAGGATTTCCAGATGTCAAAAACATTGTTTTGCGTTCAGTGGTCTCAGCGTTTGTGCATGTTTGGGCCCAACAGGGGGCCCATGACGGCCCAAGCAGCCTCCAAGATGGCCCACATACGGCCCAAGAGGGCCCCAAGATAGCCAAAAGAGGCCCACAAGACAGCCCAAGAGGCCCTCGAGATGGCCCAGGACGACCCGAAGAGCCCCCCAAGGCGGCCCCGCGAGGCGCCAAGACGGCCTCAGAAGTGGCCGGACGGCGCAAGAGGAGCGCTCCAAGACGGCGTAAGACTCCCCCAAGAGGCCCCGAAGAGGCCGAATAAGCCCCAAGAAGCCTCCAAAAGACCCCCAAGAGGCTCCCAATAGCCCCCACATCGACCGGACTGTACGTGGTACGGACGTGCACACTCCGCGAAGCGAAAGGAATCTCTTGATCTCCATCTGCAGCGCTTTGATCTTCAACTCGTATTCCCTGGACGCCTTGGCCACAGCTTCGTTCAATTCCTCCTCGCTGACACCACCAGCCACCACCATCACGGGTGCGGCGGGCTCGGCCGGCTCGGGCGCGGCCGCCTCGGCCGCCTCAGCCGCCAGTTCCCTGAGCTTCTTGTTTGCGTTCTCCATGGCTGTGAGCCTCTCGCGGAGATGCCTGGCTGCCTCCGCGTCCTGCCTGGCCTGCTCCCGCAGCGCGGTCAGCTCCTCGTCCCCGCCGCTCTCCAGCAGCTCGATGCGGTGCCGAGCCTTGGCCAGCTCCGCGGCAAGCTCCTTCTTCTCCTGCTCAAGCTGCGCAACTCTGTCCTCTGCCAGGGCCAGCTTCTCCTGGACCGCTCTGAGACCCTGCTGCCTCTCGGCCTGCGCCTTCAAGAGGGCCTCCTTCCCCGCGATGTCTGACGCGCCCTGGCTTTGCATCGCCATGGTGAGGGACTCGATCTCGTCCTTCAGGGCGACGATCTCCTGCTGAGCCTCCTCCAACTGCAGCTGGACCTCCGCCGTCCTGTTCCGCTCCTGCTCCGCCTCTTCTCTGGCGCGTCGCAGCAAGTCCTCCACCCTCTTGCGGGCGTCCTTCTCCTTGGCGAGGGCCACACGCAGCTGCTTGGCCTCCTGCAGTGCCTGCTTCTGCGACGCCTTCAGCTCCTCCACGTCCAGCTCCTGCGTCTCCTCCTCCTTGCCCGCCTTCTTCTTGGCCGCGCTCGCGCGGAAGCCCAACTTCACCCTCTCCTCGACGACCTCCCGTACGAACTCCTTGGTGGTGTCGTCCAACACAAACTCGAGTGGCTCATAGAACATGATGGGCTCCTCCTTCAGGTCGTGCAGGAGCTCCTTCTGCTTCTGCGTGAGATCGCGCTGCCTGTCGCGGTGCTCAGTGAGCTCCCGCAGGTAGGCGCGCCGCATCTCGTTGAACTTCCTGCTGAGCTCAACGTTCGTCTGCAGCAGCATCTTGACCTGTCCTATAGCCTCCTTGGGCAGCGGGGTGCTCTCCACGTCCTTCAAGTCAAGGATGGAGTGGAGCACGTGCCCACTGACTCTCCAGGCAACCTCGCAAAGGGGCTCGTAGAGCGTGGCGGGCTGGATGGGATTCTCCGCCGACATGATCTTTGCACGGAAGCGCCTCGCAAACACTTTGACGATTTCGGCAAGCCCCTGGTCCTTCGACAGGTACGCGCCGTACGCGGGGTTCATGTTCAGCATCCGCCTCAGGAAGATCGCGCCCTCGTCAGTCTCCTTCACCTGGAATGACGCCGTACACAGTCAGAGCTCATGGTAAGGATGCAAGGTAAGGCTGCATCGCCCTTGGACTTCAACGCTGACAAAGTTGCAGCAGCGTCGCGCACACAGCACTAGAAGTCTGTACCTGCCGCAGGCCAAGCCAACAAGTGACCACACTCGGGCCCAGGGTCCAGGATGAGGACAGCAAGCCCCAACGTTGGTGTACACCGTATACCCAGACTTCCGGCGACACGACTTTGGTCACGACGCGGGCCCCGGGAGATCCTGATCCCATCCCTGGGGCCAACTTTTCACGGCACGGATCGTTTTCGATGGCCCTGGGGCCCGACGACGACTTCAGGACGCGGGCATAACAACATCAGAAAACAAACGAAACCGCTGGTCCTACTTTCTCGCGAAAACTGTGCTGGTGTCCAGCTGTCGTTTTCCGGTCGCCGTGTTCATGAGCCATTTCTCCAGCTCGACGGGGGGCGGCCACTGCTCCTTCATCCGACTGAGCACCTCCAGCTGCACACCGCGCCCCCCGCCCTGCGACCCGCCGCCCCCCACGCGCGCGGCCTGTGCTGCTGGTGTCCCCGCGCGCGGGCCCGAGGGCCCTCGGGGGCGCAGCTCTAGGGCGGAGGAGCTTCAGCCGGTGGCTGCAGGGGTGGGGGAGCAGGGGCGGGAGCAGCAGCATGGCGGCGTCGATGAAAGAGAACTCCCCTCTGGCCTCCCCCGCGCAGCCCAGTCAGCTGCACTTGCACAGGGTTGGGGATCAACCCTCGATGAAACGAGGGCTCCCAGCTTCGCGCTTCGCGCTGCGCGAAGCGCGAAGTGCGAATAACTTCGCGCTCTCGCGCCGCCTCCCAGAGGAGAAGAGGAGGATGAGGAGTCGGAGCCGAACCGCGAAGCGCGAAGCGCGAATAACTTCGCGCCCTCGAGGGCGCCCTTGATGAAAACGGTCTAGGCAGGACCTCCTGGTGCCATGATGGAACCGAGGACCACGAAACTCCAGCCTGAGCTCCGCTTGTGGGGACGACACCGAGCAAGACGAGACGGACGGCACGCGAAGTGGAAAACTAGCAAGGGGGGCCTGTCTCCAATAGAACAGACGTAGTTTGCCCAGCGATGACGGAAATCAGCTGCTGGGCCAGACAAGATCCCATTAGCACCTCAATCGGCCAGACAATCAGCTCGCTCGTTGCCAAATGAATGATTGCCCTGAAGGGGCCGTAGGAAAAGTAAAGCAGTAGGCGACAATACTCGACCGAAATCGGTAAGCGGCCTGGAAATTCTTTAGGTGGTCAGGTCTCCTGTATCCTGGGTTCCTGAAGTTGTTAGGGCGTGACGAAAAAGCCGGGCCGGTTTCTGTGGGATCCTTGGTTCCAGGTTCCCAAATTATCAAGTTCTCGGTTGTGGCCAAGTGCCAACATCCTTGCGATCACAAGCAGAATTCTGCGGAGAGTAAGCACTAGATACTGGTGGATAGAGAGTGTAGCCAGTAGAACGAGCGGAGGGTAAGGAGCGGAGCGGGTAGAGAGATGATTGAAAGTAGAGGATAAACATATAGAGGGAGAGAGAGTGAGATAAAGGGAGAGAGAGAGAGAGAGAAGAGAGAGAAGAGAGAGAGAGAGAGAGAACAAAAAAACGAGAGGGATATTGAGAGACAGAGACAGAGAGAACGAGAGAGATGGAACAGTATATAAAGAGAGAGGGAGAGCAGAGAGAAAGGGAGACAGTGAATCTACATATCTATATATATATATATACAGATACATATGCATAGGCACGAAAATACTAAAACCACGCGCGCTTCGCGCGCTTAGGTTCTAGCAAGCTCTAATTGTACTTGTTCGGCATCGGAGGACATATATTGCCACACGGACCGTGCCACGCAGGGAGCTCCACCTGCGGCCCCCAAGGCAGGCTTGGCTGAGCGTCCCCCCGCCCATGACGGCACACCCCTCACAGGGACCCCCCCCCAAATGGAGCTCCACCTACGTCCGCGAAGACACGATTCGCATAGTGACATGCCCCTCACGCGGATCGTGCCCCGCCAAGAACGGCTTTTGCGGCAGCAGAGGGAAGCTTCATAGCGTCGCCCCGCTCACGTTGGCACACGTCTCACCCGGATCGTGGCCCATAAGGACTTCCACGGACGGCCCCAGAGACAAGGTTCACATTCCGCCCTCCCACCTACTTCGGTATACCTTTCAAACGGATGGTGGCCCACAGGGATCTGCACCTACGGCCCCAGAGGCAGGGTTCACACTGCGCTCACACCCTGGCCATTGCGGATCGTACCCACAAGGAGCAACACCTGAAGGCCCAAAGACAAGGCTCGCACAGCGCCCTCCCGCTCATGTCGGCACACATCTCACGCGAATCATGCCCCAAAAGGAGCTCCACCTATGGCACCGATGGGCAGCTTCGCCCGGCGTCCCCACGCCCATTTCGGAACATGCCTCACAGGGGTCGTGCCCGGAGGAGGTCCACCTGCGGCCTCAGTGGGCGTGTTCGCGCGGCCCCTCACGCGGATCGTGCCTCACAAAAAGTTCAGCGCACCCGCGAACGCGTGCTCCGCAACAGCCATCATTCCGCGTTGCTCCGCGGCGCGCAGTGAAGAGAGACCCGTGCCCTGCACTAAACATGACTTCACAGGGACGGATCCGTCGCCAACCCAATTACTTGCCTCTGTATGGCCGTCGGCCTAAACCGCTACAAGTACTGTGCCTGAGTTTGGGGCCAGAGGACTCTGGGCATACATACATACATACATGAATGCAGGCATGCATACATACATACATGCATGCATGCATGCGTGCATGCATGCGTGCATACGTGCGTTCATGCATGACATACATACATACATACATACATACATACATACATACATACATACATACAGAAATACATACATACATACATACATACATACATACATACATACAGACAGACAGACAGACAGACAGACAGACAGACAGACAAACAGACAAACAGACAAACAGACACATACATACATGTATACATCCATACATACATACATACATACATACATACATCCATACATACATGCATATCTGCATCCATGCGTGCATGCATACATACATCCATACATGCATCCACACATGCATGCATGCATGCATATACACGTACAGGCATACGCACGTGCATATAGACCTGCATGCATGCATGCATACATGCACGCATAAACGCATACGCATACACATCTACATGCATACACAATTGCATGTATGCATGCACGCATGCACACATACATACATACATTCATGCATGCCCATATGCATACATGCATACACACATTCATGCATGCATACATACGTACATGCATACATGCATACATACATCCGTACATACGTACATACGTACAAAAGTACATTCATACATACCTGCATGCATACATACATACATACATACATACATACATACATATATACATACATACATACATACATACATGCATGCATGCATGCATGCATGCATGCATGCATGCATGCATACATACATACATACATACATCTACATATTTACTAGAACCATCGCGCGCTTCGTGCGCGCTCAAGTTCTAGCTAGGCTTGATAGGCTCACTCATGTAATCTCATGTTGGTCGCTTCTTGCGTCCAGGGGCTCACTTGGAGGCCCTGCGCAAGCGTCGGAATCGTATAGAAGGGGAAGTGCGGAAACGGAGAAAGCATTGAATTCCTTAAGATATTCAACGATTCGGGGCCCTCAAAGGCTTCCTGGGTTCTTTTTGGGGAGGTGAGGGGGGCCTGAATTGTGGTCTGTTGTGCAAGAGTAGACCGGGGGCCAAAATTGTGAGAAAAAAAAAAAACGAAATTGTGGGATTCCCATTTGTTTCCAATTCCTCGGCGCTGTTCGGCGCTGTTTTTTTGTGCCTCGCGGGTTTTGTTAGCCGGGGTCCTCAGGGGTGTGGGATCTTCTGGACCCCCTGGGGGTTCTGGAGGCCTCCTGGAGGTCTGGAGAGCCGTCGGAAGGGTGTCTCGGGCTGCGCGGAAGCGTGTTGGGCCGTTCTGTACGTTCTGGGGAATCCTTGGGCTCGTTTTTGGCTGTGCTTGGGCTTCTTGGGGGTCCCCCGGGAAGCCGGGAGGCGCGGTACCGGCCAGATGTCAGGGGATGTGTGGGATCTCCGAGTAGGAGTCCACTTTGAAAAAAAAGGCGGGGCGCGGTACCGGGCGCCTCTTCGGCAATTTTGGGGGTTTTCTTGGCCCGTCTTGGACCCGTCCTGGGAGCCTTTTGGGCGGTCTTGGGGCGGTCTTGGACCGTTGGACGCTCGAAAACGCGAGAAGGCTGAAAACAATAGAACAAAAAAAAAATCCAAATCGACGATTTTGGCCTCTTCGGGCTTTCCCGGGACGCCTCTCGGACCTCTTTTGGGGCCTTTTGGAAGCCTCCTGGGAGCGTGGAGAGCCGTCCACAGGGTGTTCTGCTTTACGTTCTGGGAGCTTCTTGGGGTCGTCATGGGCTGTCCTTCGGCGTCTTGGGGTCTCCCCAAGAAGCCGGGAGGCGCGGTACCGACCAGATGTCAGGGGATGTGTAGGACCCCCGAGAAGGAGTTCCATTTGGAAAAAAATGAGGATTCTGGGAATTCCCTTTTATCCCCGAATCCTCCATCTTCGAGGGTTGGAAGCGCGAAAACGTGAGAAGGCGAATCATGTTTACCCTCTTTGGGCTCTCTCGGGACGGCTCTCGCAGCTCTCTTGGGCTGTTCTTGGAGCCTCGTCGGGGTCTTGTTGGGGCCTCTCAAGGATCGGGGGTCTGTTGGGGGCCTCTGGGTGGTCCCGGAGGCCTCGGAGGTCTCTGGAAGCCTCCTGCTCCCCCTCTTGGGCCCATCTTGGGCCTGTTCTGGGGTGGTCTGGGGCTGTCCTGGGCGCCTCTTCGGCAGTCTTGGAGCCTTCTTGGCCCGTCGTGGGGACGTCCTGAGGGTCTTTTGGGTGGTCGTGGGGCGGTCTTGGGAGCCTCTTCGGCGCTCTTGGACCGTTGGAAGCTCGAAAACGCGAGAAACCAATAACATTGAACAAACCAATGAAAATCTATGATTTGGGCCTCTTCGGGCTGTCCCGGGACGCCTCTCGGACCTGTCTTGGGGTCTCTTAGAGGCCACCTGGGTGCCTCGAGAGCCGTCGGAAGATTGACTTGGGCTGCTTGGGAGCGTCTTGGGACATCCTTTCGCATTCTGGGGGCTCCTGGGGGGCGTCTTGGGCCCTCCTGGAGCGCTGTGGAGGCTCTCCAGAAATGCCGGGGGAGCAGTACCAGGAGCGTTCCCGAGATGTGGCGGGCAGGTGTGGGACCTGGGGCCGGGGGAGGCGGAATGCATCTGCTATATATATATATATATATATATATGTGTGTGTGTATCTGCAACATACAACTCATCAGCACAGAGTGCACAACTGGAACTGCAAATCTACTTGCATATCTGTATACATATATACATACATGCATACATACATACATGCATACATACATAC